TTTTTTTAGTAGAGACAGAGTTTCACCATGTTGGCCAGTCTGGTCTCGAACTGCTGACAACTGATCTGTCCACCTCGGCCTCCCAAAGTGCTAGGATTAACATTAAGCCCGGCCACGTCTGTTTTTTCTACAGCATGAGCCAGTCCTGCCCCAGGAGGCACCTTGGAGTCTGGTGGGGTCTCTCCAGTCCCCCTCCCAGAGTGGCTCAGGCCTTAAGGCCACTGTCCTTTCTGCCAGCATCCCTTCTCCTCCCCTGCTCTGCGCTGAGGGCACTTGGACCCAGCTTACCTCACGGGCCTCGATGCTGCTCCAGGGACACCAAGACTGGGGGACCTGGGGGCTCCATCTCTGTGCTCCTGGTCTTAGCCCTGCTCCAGCCGGGCGGTGGTGGATGTCCTGGGAATCCCTGTGCCAGCCCGAGTCCTCAGGACTAGGGATCAGGGCACTTACAACGCCAACTAACCGACCCACCGGCTGTGCAGGGGCCAAGAACAGTGCAGCCCCGACCTTCTTTGCCGTCCCAGCCGAGCCCACCGGCTGCCCCTGCGGGTCCTCACCTCTTCCTGTGCTGGGCTCCACCTCAGCCTTCCTTCCTGTCTGATTTCAACAGCCAACAGCCTCGCAGACACATTGAGGAGCCGGGGCTCCCTGGCTTGCTTGCCGCCCCCATGTAAGTCAAGTGCAGGGGCGATGCTGGGGGTCATGACTCTGCTACCAAGTGTCCCTGCAGGTGCCATGCTCAGGATAAAGTGGCTGGCACCAAGGCTGTTGACACACCATCTCCATCCCACCAAAAAGGAAGCTGCCTCGCCATTGATAGATGCTTGTTTTCAGGCGGGTGACCAAGAAACCGAGAGAGCAGACTGAGGTCACGCAACTAGAGGGTGATCCCAGCAGGACTGGACTGTACCCTCCCACCTCCAGGCCACCCCTGTGGCCCTCCCCTTCTATTTATTTGTTCATTCATTTATTATTTATTTATTTATTTATGACTGAGTCTTGCTCTGTTGCCCAGGTTGGAGTGCAGTGGTGCAATCTCAGCTCACTGCAACCTCCCCTTCCCGGTTCAAGAGATTCTCCTGCCTCAGCCTCCCAAGTAGCTGGGATTACCAGCCCACACCATCATGCCCAGCTAATTTTTGTATTTTTAGTAGAGATGTGGCTTCACCATGTTGGCCAGGCTGGTCTTGAACTCCTTACCTCAGTTGATCCACCCACCTTGCCCTCCCATTGTGGAGATTACATGAGCCACCCTGCCCAGCCTATTTATTTTTTGAGACAGGATCTTGCTCTGTCGCCCAGACTAGAGTGTGGTGGTGTGATCTTGGCTCGCTGCAGCCTCCACCTCTCCTGGGGATCAAGTGATCCTCCTGCCTTGGCCTCCCAAAACAAGGGGATTACAGGCGTGAGCCACTGTGCTTCCTCTTCGAACATCTCTTGCTTTCCTTTTCTCTGTCACCAAGTAGGCACCAATGACCCAGCTGTGCCCCATAACATCTTCCTGTGAGCCAAGAGCTCCCCAGAGGCAGGCCACCTGTACCCTAAGAGGAAACAACAGAATGTAGCCGTCCACGGCAGGGATCATACTTGGTCCCTGGAGGGGAACCTCAGTGGGTGGCCTCCCCTGACAGGCAAGGGCATGAGGGGGAAGGACATGGCCCAGAGCAGGCCACATGATATAATAAAGGAGAAGTACGGGACATCTGCCGGGGGCAGGGAGCAAGCAGCTTGACATGGGGCCACTGAGGGAAGCAGGTGATAAGGTGGGAGCCAAGGGACAAGGGTCTTGGGGTCTGAATTTTCCTCAGTAAGCAAATAGGAGCCAGTGATGGTTGTAGAGCAGGAGAGTAGTGGGTCTGGGCCCATAGAGCAGCTTGTGGATCGGGGAGGTGGGAGGGTTAGTTGGTTCCTGAGAGCCTGTGTGGGTGATGGAGGGGAGGGAGCTGAGGCAGCAGATCAGAGGTGCTCCTGCACATTCCCCTGCCTGCCTGCCTTCTTACCTTTTCCCTCCCTTCATTCCTCCCTCTCTCCCTCCCAGCAGTGCTTTCTGAGCACCCAGGAGGCTGCTGGATGCTAGGAGGACACGATGGCCCTCAAGAAGCCTGCCTGAGGCTCCAGGCAGGCAGGGTGCAGACCCAGTGGCTGCAGCCTCAGCTGTGGGGAGCAGCAAAGGCGCCTGAAACCAGGCCGCTCACAGGATGTTGGAAACCGCAGGGGCCCGGTGAGTATCTTGTCACATGAAAGGGGCCAGAAGCTTGCTGTGCCTCCCTCCATGGCTCACGGGGGATGGATGCAGAGCCCGAGAGGACACAGCCTCCTCCATGGGATCTCGGGGAGCAGCCCAGCCGGGCCCAGCCCATGTTCCTCCCTCTCAGAGGAATGTCCATCAGTCCACGCAACGCTGGTCCTGTTCCCCACTCTGCCAGCTCGGCTGACAGCCGGGTGGGCCATCCTCCTGGCTCCTGGGTTGGGGGTGTGATGGGGGCTCCCTAGCTGTTCTCACTCAGGGGCTTTCTGTCCACCCAGAGCTGGGGTCAGCCGGCCAGGCAGCAACTTCCTAACTCAGCAACAGCTCAAGGCCCCGCCTGCAGGCTGTTTCTCTGTGAGCCCCCTTGCCTGGGCCAAGGCTGGGCTGTAGTTCCCCTCTGCCTTGAGGGGCCATGTCCAAGCCATGCCAAGTTGGGGCCACCAAAAGTGAGGCAGGCCTGGAGGCCCAGTCATATTCAGTGAGGCATGGACATCCCCCCCGCCGTTTTCTGATCTAGTTGGGTTACCAAATGAAAGTTCTGCTCCTAGCTTTTTTTTTCCCCCCTTTAGAAATTTTAAATGTTTTCAAAATAGAGACTTGGTCTCACTATGTTGCTCAAGCTGGTCTCAAGCTCCTGGGCTCAAGTGATCCTCCCACTTTGACCTCCCAAAGCACTGGGGTTACATGTGGGAGCCACCGTGCCCGGCCTGCCAGCTTCTCAGTCACTCCTGGAAGGGACTCCCTCCCGCCTTGTCCACGAGGAGGCCCCACTGCACGCCAGCTTCACTGCAGGTGCTGTGAGAAGGCGTTTTCCTTTTCCGTCTGTCAGCTGGACCTAGTTTTGTGCTGCCTGGGTCAGCCTCATCTCTGTGGCAGGGCCGTCTACTCCCAGATGCCACCATGCCTTTGTAGGTTCCCACAGTGGCTCCTTCAGCCCCTTTCCCTCTGGAGGAATCAGCTGCTTCACAGCTTATTTCAGGACAACGACATGCTGCATTGTACAGGTTCAAGGCCAGGACCCGGTCCCCTGGCTGGCGGCACTGCATAAACTGAGCCTCTGCACAGCGCTGGCCCCTGTCCGCCCAGGGAGCATCCAGCAGCCCCAACTGGATCCAAGGTCACGGTGAGGTTCAGATCCAGTCCCCAGGCCATGCCTCCCCCAGCCTTGGGCTCACACCTCACTCAAGGCCCCTAGGCCAACTTGTTAACTACTTGGAACTCCTCCCCCAGTCAGCCTTTACCAGCCTTAAAGTTCCGAACTCTTAAGTCATGGGACACAATGAATGCATCCAAACCACAAACCCTGTGAGGCCAGACAGGGGCCTCCAGTCCCCCACCTTCCCCACCCCGTCACTTCCCGAACACCAGGGAGGGGGTCAGCCCACCAAGGCAGCAGCGCATGATGCCTTCCAAAGCAGGCCAAAGGCCAGCCTCAGATTGATCACAGCTGATCTCAGGCCCTCAAATTGTCCGCCCTGGGCTCTGGAAGCTGCGAGGCCTGGGCCTGCCCACCAGGTCACGTGCCAGGACACAGCATGAGTGCCTGAAACCACATTTCACTCCCTAAATGCTGTTTGCCCAGAAGACACAGCTCACAAACCTCTCTTCCAAGAGGCTGTCCTGACACGGCCCTTCAGGCCACGGGAGCCTGACCCCCCACCAGGTGGGGATAGGCCAGCGTCTGTCTCCTCCACTGGACTGGACGCACTGGTAAAGGCAGATGCTGACTCGGTGAGTTATGGGGTGGAGTGGGCTCGGCGGGGATCTGAATCTGCTTTAGTAGGAACCCTCTGTTGAGGCAGCTGCTGGAGGTGCTGGCGCCCCACTTTGAGGAGCAGGGGCTGGAGCTTGGCACCCGGCCAGGGCTCAATTGGATGCAGGTGTGTGGACATCTCTGGTCTAGGAACTGAAATGAGACAGCAGGCCCAGGTTACCCCGACGCAAAGAGCAGGTGCAAGGTAAGGGCTTCTGCAGGTGCAGGGTGGGGGGCCAAGGGGCCGCGGTGTCTCTAGCTCCTGCCTGTTTCCCTCGTGATCTTCCTGGAGTGCAGCAGCCAGGAGGTTTTAATAAAGCCATTTTGGTTTATTGCACATCATATAAAACTGACTGCACTGCATTTGAAACAGACGAGGACATTCACAAGGATGGAGAGACCGTGGTTTCCTTTCCTGGCCCTCCCCTTCCTCCACACTCCTCCTGAGGTTGGAGGCAGCTTTAACCCAAATGGATGGAACCCGCTAGTGAACATGCTTGTTTTGGGGACATCAGAGTTGTTCTGGGCCCTTGTGCACTGTCCAGTTTGGAGACTGCTGGTGACAATGGCAAGTGTCCTGGCAGCCTGGCTGGGCCAGGAGAGTTGTACCTGGGCCGTGGCAGTGAGGGGAACCTGAGGACACCTGGTCTCAGGCTGGCGGTGGCTGGGGTTGGCCTGAGTGCTGACGAGGACTGGCCTGGGCCACTAGGGCAGGCTGGACCTGATGTCCATCTCAGGACAGACGTGTGGGGCAGCTGTGCCCAGGACTGGTGGGCTCAGAGGGTGGCAGATGTGGCAGAATAGGCCTTGCCCTGGCCCGCTGGTGATGGCCCACTGCCCCTCTGGGTTAAAGGGAGACACACTGGGCCAGGTGAGGTGGCTTACACCTGTAATCCCAGCATTTTGGGAGGCTAAGTCGGTTGGATTGCCTGAGCTCAGGAGTTCGCGACCAACCTGGGCAACATGGTGAAACCTTGTCTCTACTAAAATACAAAGATATTACCCGGGCACGGTGGCATGTGCCTGCAGTCCCGACTACCCGGGAGGCTGACAAGAGAATGGCTTGAACCCGGGAGGCAGAGGGTATGGTGAGCTGAGACCACGCCACTGTCCTCCAGCCTGGGTGAGAGAATGAGACTCCATCTCCCAAAAAAAAAAAAAAACAAAACAAAAAGGGAAACACACTGGGCACAGACAGAGGAAGGGGCTCAAGTCTAAATTCAATGGATGACACGCTCCAAATGCCACTCTGGAAAGCAGAGAGCTGAGGAGGAAGCCCTGGATCGGGCTGTGGTCGTCGTCACAGTGCATAGCTGATGTGGTCTCAAGGCCCAGAAATGCCTGTGGAGGCCTGACCCACACTGGGTGTCCTAGGTCCTCCTGGAAGATGGCAAGGGTGGGGGCTGCTGATGGCGGGGTGGGGTGGGGTTGGGGACAGCCTGTCAGTTGTGCTCTGCCTTCTTCTTGCCCCGAGGCTGCCGCCTCCTGCCTTGGAGCTTCTCCCTGCGGGCGGCGGCAGTGGTGAAGGTGATACAGTGGGTGTCCAGGAAGTCCAACAGCCTGCCCGAGGACACATGGAGGCCATTCTGCTTCAGCTCGGCCTTCAGCTCCCCCAGCTCAAAGGGCTGGTACAGCAGCACCTTCTGGTACAAGGCCGGCTTGGAGCGGATGTAGCATCTCAGTGCCTCGTCCGTGTCTGCCACATGCACGGCTGCCTGCGAGGCACTGACCTCGTCCTCGCCCTCCTCCTCTTCACCTGCAGACACAAATGCCGCTCCAAACTCACAGGAGGAAGAACTGAAAAGAGCCAGACCCGGACATTTTGCAACCCCTTTCTCTCCGGCCCCTCAGACCAGGAGCCTCTTAAAAGAAGGAGGGTATTCCTACAGCTCCCATGGAGCCTGGCCTGTGGCACAGACGACCCCCAGGGTGGCAAGATGGGCCTGAGAGATCCCTGCAGGCTGCTCCAGCGAGATCCCACCCAGCCAGAAATATCCAGCATGCAGGGCAGAAACCAGGAGGCCTGCACAGGGGTGGGAGTCAGAGAACCGGCCCTCTAAACCCACCTGGCTTTCCCATAGGTAATATCCAGAAGGTGATGGGGTGTTTGAAGATTGGCCATTAGGCCTCACTTGTGCCAACCCTCACACCCACAGGCCAGAGAATACATGAGGCCACTGACCCCATTGCGCCCATCCGGTTACCTCTGTGAGCTCAACGAGCTGTCACTGCCATCCACAGAGGTGGCCACAGATTCCTGGGAGGCTGGGAGCTGGGCGTCATCGTCAAGGCCTGGAGGTGCCTCTTTGACGGGTGACCTGCTCAGGGGTGTGATGCTTTCAGGATGCTTCTTTTGATGTCGGGGGCCCTTGGTCTTAGCAGGTCCCTTGGGCCTATGGGCCTCAGGTCCTGTGGTGGCCACCTGCTGTGCATGGACTGCTGCCCTTGAAGGCTTGCAGGTCTGGGAGGCGAGGGTCTGGCAGTGAGGTGCCTGCAGCAGCACCTGTGAGGACTGGCTCTCGTCCTCGGAGTCTGAGTCCAGGGTCTGGTGCGTGTACTGGAATATCTCCTTCAGCTTCAGAACCATCTGGCGTTTAGGCAGAGGGCGGACTCCAAACCTGACGGAGAGACAGGTGGACTTCAGGTCCCACCCACAGGGCTGGCCCACGCTCCACACTGTTCTCCATCATAGCAAAGAATGATGCCCAATGCATTCAGCGAATGGCTTGTGTGACAAACCATAGATGCCTGACTTCTGTGAGCATCCGAGGTTAGTGTCTCCAACTAAGCTTACTCTGATGATTCCAAATGAAACATGCCAGCCGGGTACAGTGGCTCATGCCTACAATCCCAGCAGTTTGTGAAGCCAAGGCAGGAGGATCACTTGAGTCCAGGAGTTCAAGGCCAGTCTGGGCAACATAGCAAGACCCTGTCTCTACAAAAACTACAAAAATTAGCCAGGCATGGTGGTGTCGCCTGTAGTCACAGCTATTAGGAGGCTGAGGTAGAAGGATCACTTAAGCTCAGGAGGTTGTGGCTACAGTGAGCCAAGATCACGTACTCCAGTGTGGGCAACAGAGTGAGACTCTGTCTCCCAAAATAAAATGAAAAATAGACAAAAGATACATTGCTCCCAGCTCTGAGGGATGGTGGCAGCAGCAGCCTCCCTGGGTGCCTGAGTGGAAGAGCACCGTCATGTGGATGTGAGAGTTCAATGTTCTTTTAAAAAAATCAGGCTGCCTCACTCAGGCTGCTCTAGCTAGGGGCTGCTTCTATCCACAAGGAACATGGGGACCTGCTGCCCATGGGTGACATGCCGGAGTCTGTGTGTTGGCTCCCTGGGAAGGGTGCAGAGAGGACTGGGCGGCTCACCTCAGCACCCAGCAGTCACGCCTGCTCCCCAGGAGCAGACTGCAGACCCTTCCTCCCAAGCCCAGTCCAGCTGCATCCACCAGACCCCAAGGGACGATGCGGGGGACCCTTCCACCCGCAAGCCTGTGAAACCTGGTTACTCGTGGGAGGGAAAAGCCCACTGTGGGCAAGCTTGGAAGACCACCAACCTATCCAGTTCCTTCTTCAGCACCGGGGTCTCCATAATGGAATACTGTGGCATTGGAGTGATGGGCACTTTGGGGGGCAAATTCTTCTTCCGATTAGCACCTTCTGGGTAAAAGAAAAAAAGCACACGTTTTAGCATGAGGGACACGGATTTCCCACGTGTGATCCCAGTAGCGTCACCAAGAGGAATACTGCACTTGAAGATAACTCAAGCATCACTTTTGCTCCATGAAAGCAACAACGGCCACCCCTTCCCTGTCTGGAGCCGCGCTTCCCGTTGACAGCACTGGGGACACGCACTGAGGGCCACACCTTGTATAACACAGATGCCGGCTGAACAGGGCTCCTGGGGCTACTCAACCCAACAGCACAGCACGTGACTATATCTTACACATTTAAACTTAAAAATGTCTGACTCACAGTGACAACTTGAGACAATGGGCCACACTGATACTCTTCAAACAGGCTTGGCTGGGTGCAGTGGTTCAGAACGCCTGTAATCCTAGCACTTTGGGAGCCCGAGGCGGGCAGATCATGAGGTCAGGAGTTCCAGACCAGCCTGGCCAAGATGGTGGAACCCTGTTTCTAGTGAAAATAGAAAAATTAACCGGGCGTGGTGGCCTGTACCTATAATCTCAGCTACTTGGGAGGCTGAGGTTGCAGTGAGCTGAGATTGCACCACTGCACTCCAGCCTGGGCAACAGAGCAAGACTCCATCTCAAAAAAAAGAACAAAGAAAGAAAAAAAAAAACCAGGCTTAGATATCAGTTTTGTTTTTTAAAAATAATTCATCAATTAAAAAAACCCAGTTATTTACAATGTAATAATGAAACAGCAACAACAACAAAAACACCCAGTTAAAAAAATGGGCAAAGAATGTGAACATAACATTTCTCCAAAGAAAATGTACAGAATGGCCAATAACCACATAAAAAGCTGCCCAACATCATTAGTCATCAGGGAAATTCAAGTCAAAACCACAACGAGATACCACTGCACGCCCGCTAGGACGGCCATAGCAAAAACACAGAGCGCTTGGGCAACATGGCAAAACCCCATCTCTACAAAAAAAAAAAATACAAAAACAGCTGGGTGTGGTGGCCCAAGCCCGTAGTTCCAGCTACTTGGGAGGCTGAGGTGGGAAGATCACCTCAGCCAGGAAGGTTGAGGCTGCAGTAAGCTGTGAACACACCACTGCACTCCAGCCTGGGCAGTGGAGCAAGACCTTGTCTCAAAACAAACACAACTACAACAACAAAAAAGAATAACAAGTGTTGGTAGAGATATAAAACGGTGCAGTCACTTTGGGAAATAAGTCTAGGAGTTCCTCAAAAAGCTACACACAGTTGCCATATGACCCAGCAATTCCACTGGTAAGTATAGAACGAAGAAGAATGAAAACTTACGTCTACACAAAAACTTGCATGTGAATGTCCCTAAGTAGCATTATTGGCAACCAAAAAGTAAAAACAACCCACATGTTCATAATGGATGAATGGATAAGCAAAACTGGCATGCCATTAGTGGGGTATTAGTAAGACATAGAAAGGAATGTATGCCCAAAGCCAGGGCAACATAATAAGACCCCATCTTTACAAAAAAAAAAAAAAAAAAAATCCAGGCATGGTGATACCTGCCTGTAGTCCCAGCTACTCAGGAGGTTGAGGTGGGAGGATCACTTGAGCCTTGGAGGTTGAGGCTGCAGTGAGTTGTGATTCTGCCACTGCACTCCAGGCTGGGTAACAGAGCAAGAACGTTGACTCAAAAACTGGCATTGGCTCAGGCCTGTAATCCCATCAATTTGGGAGACCGAGGTGGGTGGATCACTTGAGGTCAGGAGTTTGAGATCAGCCTGGTCAACATGATGAAACCTTGTCTCTTCAAATACAAAACAAATTACAGGTGGCAGGTGCCTGTAATCCCACCTACTCAGGAGGCTGAGGCGGGAGAACTGCTTGAACCAGGAGGGTGGAGGTTGCAATGAGGCAAGATTGCGCCACTGCACTCTAGCTTGGGCAACAGAGCAAGACTGTCTTAAAAAACTAAAACCAAAACCAAAACAGAATAAAAAGGAATAAAGTACTGATCCATGCTACATGTATGAATCTTGAAAACTGTATGCTAACTGAAAGAAGCCAGACACAAAGGGCCACATAATTGGTAATATATGGCTCAGTTTATATGACATGTCCAGGATAAGCAAATCTATATAGACAGAAAGTAGATTCTTGGTTGCCAGGCCTGGGGGAAGGCGAAGGGGAGAGACCGCTCATGGGTTTGGGATTTATTGTTGAGATGATGAGAATGTTCTGGAATTAGAGTGGTGGCAATGGTATAACTGTGAATGGACTAACAACCACTGAACTGTCCATTTTAAAAGGGTAGTTTTTTCTTTTTCTTTTGAGATGGCGTCTCGCTGTGTCACTCAGACTGGAGTGTGTGCAGTGGTATAGTCTGGGCTCACTGCAACCTCTGCCTCCCCAGTTCAAGCAATTCTCCTGCCTTAGCTTCCTGAGTAGCTGGGACTAAAGGCACATGCTACCACGCCCGGCTAATTTTTTATAATTTTAGCAGAGACAGGGTTTCACCGTGTTAGCCAGCATGATCTCGAACTCCTGACTTTGTGATCCGCCCACCTCGGCCTCCCAAAGTGCTGGGATTACTAGCGTGAGCCACTGCACCTGCCTCAAAAGGGTAGATTTTATGGTGTGTGAATTATATCTAAATAAAGCTATTACTTTAAAAAATAATAGGCGACGCGAGGTGGCTGATGCCTGTAATCCCAGCACTTTGGGAGGCCGAGGCGGGTGGATCACCTGAGGTCAGGAGCTGAAGACCAGCCTGACCAACATGGTGAAACCCCGTCTCTACTAAAAATAAAAACTTAGCTGGGCATGGTGGCCGGTGCCTGTAGTCTCAGCTACTTGAGAGACTGAGGCAGGAGAATCTCTTGAACCCACAGGTGGAGGTTGCACTCCAGCCGGGTGACACATGAGGAACAGAGGGACTTTGGGTTCTCCTCTCTTTTATGACCATTTTATCATCATGGAGCCCTTTGAGTGCAAATGTCTCCTGAGAGAGGCAGATTCTTCCTGTGGCCACAGCAACATCCTAAGGCCCACCTCAGATCTGCTCTCCAGCCTCCAGCTGTTCTCACAGCACTCCCTGGGAACTGGTTAGAAATGCAAATTACTGGTCACCCTTTGGGGCAGGCTGGGCCAGGTGTGCTATAAGAAGCTATCCAAAAAAAAAAAAAAAAAAAAAAGAAGCTATCCAGGTGCTTCTGAAGCCCGAGGGCGGGGGCACACTGTCAGTGGCCTCATTAGTCTGGATTTCCAGTAGCAGCACCGAGGGGAGGGGCTGACACCTGGGGCTCTGACTCTCCCCCGGGACTGAAATGAGCAGGAAGGTGGCATCCCTGCACCTGGGGGGACCAGAAAGAATGGGCCTCACAGCCTTTCACACTTGCCCCACCTGTTTCTTTTCTCAATTGAGGTGAAAGTCACATAAATTGTAAAGGGAACAATTCAGTGGCAGTAAGTATTCACAGTATTGTGCAACCATCACCTCTATTTCCAAAACATTTTCAGCACCCCAAAAGGAAACCCTGTACCCCATAAGCTATCATTGCCCCTCCCTCCAACCCAGGGCAACGACTAACCTGCATTCTGTCTCTCTGGATTTGCCTATTGTAAACATTTCCTATCCGTGAACGCAGACAGTACATGACCTTCGATGTCTGGCTTCTCTCACCTGGCAGCGTGTTTCCCGGGGGTGTCCACGCTGTGGCGTGTGTCAGTGCCTCACTCCTTTGTGGCTGACCCCTTTTCCGTTTTTTTTTTTTTTTTTTTTTTGAGACGGAGTTTCGCTCTTGTTACCCAGGCTGGAGTGCAATGGCGCGATCTCGGCTCACCACAACCTCCACCTCCTGGGTTCAGGCAATTCTCCTGCCTCAGCCTCCTGAGTAGCTGGGATTACAGGCATGTGCCACCATGCCCAGCTAATTTTTTGTATTTTTAGTAGAGACGGGGTTTCACCATGTTGACCAGGATGGTCTCGATCTCTTGACCTCGTGATCCACCCGCCTCAGCCTCCCAAAGTGCTGGGATTACAGGCTTGGGTCACCGCGCCCGGCCACTGTTCCGTTTTCTAGATGGACCACATTTGGTTTCCCTATTCACCTGCCGATGGGCATTTGGGTTGCTTCCACCTTTTGGCGACTGAATAGTGCTGCTATGAACATGCGTGTCTGAGTCCCTGTTTTTAATTCTTTTGGATACACAGGCAAAAGTGGAATTGCTGGGTCCTGCAGCCATTCTACAGTTAACATTTTAAAGAACCACCCTGGCCCAATCTTAAGGCACGCCAATACTTGTTGAATGAGTCTCGGCCTTTGGAGGTGCTGGCTCCGTGTTCTGGAGAGGGGTCCACAGACGTGGATTTTTAACACATGCCCAGGTAAGCACTAGTTCCAGGCAAGTTTGGGAAACCCTGACTTACTGGCTTAGTAGGTGGAGGGGAGTCTGGAAGGCTGCAGAAATGTCGTGCCTCAGGTCAGTAGGCATTCAGCACCACCTGCCCCTGGGTCGCATGACCGATCTCCACACCCACTTAGCGTGAAAGAGTCAGAAAGACAGTCCCCCTCCCCAGCTCTCCCAGCTACTTACTGGGCGTCTCTAACACTTTAGGCTTCTGAGCTCCACTGGTGCTTAGCGTCTGGGTGGGAGGAGGGGTCTCTGGAGGCCTCTGCTCTTCCCAGTCCCAATCATCCCACAGAGCCGAATTCAGAGCATTCAGCCTGCTGTTCCCCAGGGAGCCCACACCCGAGGACTTCTCTTGCGATTTCCGATGGGCAGTGCAGCTTCCTCGGATGGGAGTGGTATCCAGGAGTCCCGGGGAGCAGCAGTCACAGCTGTCCGCGGCCTCCTTCAACCTGAGGCTGGGGCTGCTGGTGCTCAGGGGGCCGGTCCGCTCCAGGTTCCAGTGGTCAATGGGAATTGGCGAGAGGGGCTCCATGTGCCAGCAGCCATTGTCAATTGGAACTGGGGGGTCACTGTGCAGTGGGGGGCTGCTGTTGGCCTGATGGGAGGCCACCTCCTGCTCATCGTCACTGTCCCCGAGTTCCACGACTTCAGTCACTGTAGTCTGATTCAGAAAGCTTGGCCCAGGTGGCGAGTGTTTCAAGAACCGCCTGCTGAAGTGGGTGTGGCCCCCTGAGATGGGACATGGAGCCAGCGGAGAGGAGTGCAGGTGGCCCTCGGGGTAGGGGCAGGAAGGACTTCTGTGGCCTTGCCTTCTGCCGTCGGAAGTTCCTGGAGAGACAGGAGTGCAGCATGAGGACGGTGTCTGGGGCCTGATGACCGAAAGCTTCTGAGCGGCTTCGTTCCCTTCCCTGTTTCCTACTGAGGGCCTGGGCATGTGCTGAGTCACCGCCTCCACGGCCGGCCCACTCCTGAGGCTGCTGATTTGGGTCTGGGAAGAACAGTCTCGGCTTCTGCCTGCCAGCGGGGTGGCGGGCACCAGCCATGAGGTGTCTGTGGTGCTGCCCTCTTTGGGGCTGCTCTCACGGTCACAGGACAGCCAGGGAGCCCCTGTGCTGCCCCAAGAGCCCCGATTCTCTGGCAGCTCTGCCTTGTCCTCCTGCTGCAGTGAGGCTTCCCTTCCCGGTGGGCTCTGGGAAGGTTCCTGATCCGCATCAACGTCAATGATGGAGAACAGCTCACAGGATCTAGGGCTAATTTCTAGAGCTTTCTTTTCTTCCAGGGGATCACTAAAAACGGACTTCTTTTTGGATTTTTCCAGCTCCAGCTCTTCATCTGAGTCCAGTAAGAGGATGACCTCATCATCTTTGTTCAGTTTGGATGAAGATTTCTGAGATCTGGGACTTGAATTTGACTGGGTTAGGTCAATTGACAGAGATTTTTCTGGGGACATCACGACTCCCTTATCTCTGCACTCCAGCATGGACAGACACTCTTTGCCTTTCTGGCCTGGCTCGTTAGACAGCGTGAGGACACTCCTCTCCCTTTTCTGCTTTGATGGCACAGCTGGAGACAGCGAGGTTGGGGACCCCACCTGGGATGTTCTGCTGCGGGACCGGGGAGTCGACAGGGCTGACCCGCTTGTACGATGAGGGTGGTGAGACTGGCAGGGACTCCCGCCCTGGGGAGGCCCGAGTAGGAAGCAGCACGGGTGCGGTGGAGACGCCTGCCAGGGAGCCAGGCGATGAGAAACCTCCAGCCCCCTTTCCCTGACAGTGCCACCCTGTTCCTCGGGCTCACTGGTTATTTGTGACGGCTCTGAGAACGCTCCCTGAGTTGAAGAGAAGAGCTGTTCGTAATCCCTGGCATCATCTGAACGTGGAAGGGAGCTTTCTTTTCTCTCTGCCTGGCAGCCCCCGGAAGGGCTGGAGCAGCTGGAATGGCCAAGCGCCTCATTCGGCGCCTCCTGCTCAGGGGCCTCCAGTCCCAGTGTCCCTGAGCACTGGCCCTGGGGCAGTGAGTGGGTGGACTGTCCCACCTTCTTCCAGGTGGTGGCGGCCTCATTTCCCAGCCCCGATGGCTCCACCTCCTCTACCTTGTCCTGCTGTTCCTGCATCTGGACACTTGCAAGGAGCTGCCCAGAGCCCGGACTGTCCCCCACCAGCCAGTCAGTGTCCTCGCCAGTACCCGATGCTCCTACTTCCTGGAGCAGCTTTCGCTGAGTAGCTGCAAATTCATAAATTTCTTCCATTTCTTCTTCATTCACTTTTTCTTGATCTTCTTCATGGCCCTTAGATTTCAACAAAGTCTCCACTTCCTCCTCTTCATCTGCCCACATTGACCTCAAGAGTTCCTGGAAATTCTCCGCCCTGCTTTGGCAATTCTCGGCTTCCTTCTCCTCCCATGGTTTGCCCTCCGAATCTGTGGCAGCGGGCACCTGTTCACACAGCTGAACAAGCTCGCTCACGCCAAACCTGCAACACAAAACACCGGGAGTCATCGCCACTCTGCATGGAGGTAGGCTCCGGGCATCCCCGGGGGGTGGGGGACCAGAGCAAGAGTCTTCACCAGGAGGAATGACCGTGACCCATGCCCTGCTCCCTCTGAAGGCGGCGCCCACACTCCTGCCCAGAAACAGCCAGGCCACTTACTTCCAGACACCAGAGACTCAAGACACTTAGACTACAGCTAACTACAGCTTGCTAACTACAGCTGCAGACATAAAGGGGTGTGTTGGGCTGAGTGTGAGGTAACAGGGATTGGCAAGGCTGCAAAACTGGGGAGTCTGTGCTGCCTCAGAGGCCCCCAAGACACAGCGTCAGGGCCAGGGATGGTGGCTCATGCCTGAAATCCCAGCACTCTGAGAGCCAAGATAGCAGGCTCGCTCAAGGCTGGAAGTTTGAGATCAGCCTGGACAACACAGAAAGTCTCCATCTCTACAAAAAAATATAGAAATTAGCCTAGGAGTTCAAGGCTGTATTGAGCTGTGATCATGCCACTGCAATCCAGCCTGGGCAACAGCAAGGGACCCTGTCTCTAAAAAGATAAAAAAGCCCAGCACAGTGGCTCATGCCCATAATCCCAGCACTTTGGGAGGCTGAGGCAGGAGGATTGCTTGAGGCTAAGAGTTCAAGAAGAGCCTGAGCAACGTAGTGACACCCTTCTCTCCAAAAAATAAAAAATGAATGAAAAGACATGGCATCAGACACAATCCACAGCAGACACAGTCTGTTGGGTCGGACCAGGCCAGTTGGCCAGCCAGCCACCTGTTTGAAGGCTCTGTGGCCTAATCAGTTCATTTGAAACCCGAGCCTGAGCCATTCCTTTTCCTAAGGAAGCAGCAGAGGGAGGATGCAGCTTTGGATGAGCAAGGCTTCATCAGTGGCAGAGGCCCTGTCCAGAGGTACAACACTTGTCCCTGCTGAGCTGCTGCCTCTCTCCTAAGATGCTGGTTGGACAAGCCAGGGGAACCGTGGCGTACCAAGATACAGCCTAAGCATTCTCTCCACGCCTGTTTTCTGGGACTCTGGAAAGGACCCATTTGTTCAGGTCACTGTAGCCAAGGGTCATTCCCTTCTTCTTTTTTTTTTTTTTGATACAGTATAGTGGAGTTTAGTGGCCCGATTCAGCTCACTGTAGCCTCTACCTCCCAGGTTCCAGCAGCTCTCCTGCTTCAGTCTCCTGAGTATCTGGGATTACAGGCACATGCCACCAGGCCCAGCTAATTTTTTTTTGTATTTTCAGTAGAGACGGGGTTTCACCATTTTGGCCAGGCTGGTCTCGAACTCCTGACCTCAGGTAATCTGCCCGCCTCGGCCTCCCAAAGTGCTGAGATTACGGGCGTGAGCCACTGCGCCTGCCCCATTCTCTTCTTATCACACCCAGGGGACTAAAAACCACAGGGCTTGGCAGGGCGTGGTAGCTCAAGCCTGTAATCCCAGCACTTTGGGAGGCCGAGGCAGGCGGATCACAAGGTTAAGAGATCGAGACCATCCTGACCGACGGTGAAACCCTGTCTTTATAAAAAACAAAAACAAAAATCCCCACAGGGCTTGATAGTCCTCCCCATCCAGTGCTCGGCACCCCTGCCAATGTCTGTTCTGGCCTGACTTTCACCTAATACACCCTGTTCCACTGGTGTATCGCTGGGTGTATCCACTGGGTCATCGCTGGTCATGCACTTGGGATTAAAAGGTATAAACGGGACTCTTAGTTCGCTCAGCCTCAGCCCAGACCCCTCTGCAGCACAACCCTCCCCTGAGCTGTCAACCTGCCAGTTAATTTCAAAGGCTGGGGAGTAATCCAGACCTGTGTGCCAGGGAGCTCAGCTCTGAGCTCAGGCCAGGAGGAAGGTCAGTGTCCGCAGTGTAGAGATAGTGCAGGAATGTGCGGGCGGCCTCAGTGCTCACGTCACCCAGCAGGACACGCTGGGTCAGAACTCCATCCTCTACAGCAGAGAAGCCTTCGTTGTTCACCTGAAGGTGAAATGCAACACAGAGGGTTTACTGGTCAGACAGTTGTAACTTGGAGCAAAGCAGACAGTCTCGGGTGTCCTGCAAGTCACTAGTCTTTTTATTTTTCTTTTTAGAGAATTTCCAGGAGTGGCTCCTCCTGTTGTCCAGGCTGAAGTGCAGTAGTGTGATTATAGCTTACTGTAGCCTTCAACTTCTAAGCTAATTTTTATTTTTATTTTGAGCTGGAGACTCACTCTGTCGCCCAGGCTGGAGTGCAGTGGCAAAATCTCGGCTCACTGCAGCTTCCGCCTCCCAGGTTCAAGCGATTATCCTGCCTCAGCCTCCTGAGTAGCTGGGATTGCAGGTGCATAGCACCACGCCTGGCTAGCTTTTTGTATTTTTAGTAGAGACAGGGTTTCACCATGTTGGCCAAGCTGGTCTCAGACTCCTGACCTCAGGTGGTCCGCCCTCCTCAGCGTCTCAAAGTGCTGGACTTACTGGTGTGAGCCACCGCACCGGGCCCCTAGGCTAATTTTTAATTTTTTTTGTAGAGATGCGCTCTATGTTGCTCAGACTGGTCTTGAACTCCTGGCCTCAAGCAACCCTCCCACCTTAGTTTCCCAAAGTACAGGGATTTAAGGCATGAGCCGCCGTGCCCGGTCCCTAGTCTTATAAGCAGCTGCATGCCCCAGATACAGTGTTAGCCAGTGCTGATGCATATTTTTGGCCAATAATTTTACAGGTGAGGCTTCACACTTCTCTGTTATCAAATCGTATTGAGAATAGACATGCTAGCACCCAGTTAGATTCCTCCTGATAGACACATCTGGGCCCTAGAACTTTGACAGACTGAGAATAGCTCCCTGAGTTCCTGCTGACACTCAAGTCAAATGCTTTCAAGTCTGAAAACAAAAGGTTCACCAGCACCTCAACTCTGAAGAGATCAATTGTGAGCCTTTGTAATTATGCAAATAGAGAAAAGAGAAAACAATTCTAGGAAAAAATGAACTTTCATTCAACAGAATGAAAAAGCTGATGTTTCCCAATTCTGAGGCCACCCCCTCACACCCACTCCTAACCTCAAGCATAGGTCTTTATCTTCTCCACTGTTAGAGAAAGGGGGTGGGGGGGAGGGAGAGAGTGAGAACATGGTGAGGGGGCAGGAAGTGAGGGAGACAGGGATGGGGGGGCGGAGGCAGGGAAAGAAGAGCACCTGAGGCAAGGGGAGAGCCTAGTCAGAGACAGGTGGAGGGGGAGTGCGTCGGGAGAAAAGGAGGGCATGTGTACTTACATACTGGATGAGGAGCGGGCATCGGGCATAAAGCACGAACTTGTGGGCGTAAAGCACCTCCCCGCTGTCTGTCTGGAACTGGACGTCACTCAGGTGTGGGTTATTGACCATGGCGCCAAAGTCAGAAACCAGCAGCCCAAGGGAGAGCTGGAGTGGCAGGAGAGGAAGCGCCGTCACCTCGCCTACCTCTGCTCCTCTCCCTGGGCAGTGGGAAGCTCCCCGCAAGGAAGTGGCACTAGGGTGGGCCTCAAGTCGGAACCTGTGCTCTCCCTTCCTCTCCAAAATGGTTCCCACAATGGGCTCCACCTCTGAGTGTCCCTAAAGCTGTGAGCGGCACAGAAGAGCAAAGCACTACATTGCTCCTCTGACTCTATTCCAGGGGGTTCCCTGGCACCTGTGGAGAGGCCAGACGTGGGGCTAGATGTAAACCCGCAGCACTGGCAGCTCCTGCGCTGCATGGGCCAGGCCGCAGGGTACCTGGGCTCCGAGGAGGTGTATCCATGCCCTGTGATGGACTAGCACCCTGAGTCCAAGCAGCTTGGGGACCTGGCCAAGAGGACAGCCGGGTTCTGTGGTGGTGTCCCCAGGCTGGCCCTTGGCTTGAAGTGCTTGGTTGACACTGACATGCAAATGAGAGGAGGTCCACTCTAGGGACAAGCCAGCTCCCACCCCGGGTCCTCCCCACACAGCACCCTGACAGGGAGGCCAGGCCTGACTGTTCCGCTGTGGTCTGGAGCCCGGCCCAGGACCTGCACAAAGGGGAGGGACAGCAAGCCCTCAGTGAGCTCGCAGCTACCGGGGAACAAGCAGAGCATGCCTGGATGGGGTAGCCGCACTGAGACACTGTGGTCCCACACACCTGGGACTCCAGACAGAGCAGGCTCTGGGGGCCCAACCCTGAGGTGCCCCACGGAGTCACAGACAGAAATGGCAGAAGTCTCATGGCAGAGGCCTTAGAGGAACACCAGGGCAGCTGTGGGCCTGTGACTCTGCTCACAGCTGTCAGGATGTGGCAGCCTTCTGGAAAGCATAGACCTTTTTGAGAGGCCATTGCACTTGCGTTGGGGTCTAGAGGCCAGTGGTGAGCTGACCCCACCACACACGTGGCAAGCGGGAGTGGCCGGGACCACAGAGCTCGGGCCAGAGCCAGTCCTTACCGAGGCACAGCCGCCCCTGTCCAGCTGCTTGTCCTGTGATGGCACCACAAACCCAGTCAGAGGAAGGCTGCTGGGCACCATGTCCAACCCTGAGCGGAGGATTTGCAGGTTAAAGGAACGTCATGGCCCAGCCACGTCCACCACCAAGACAGTGTTGACCACAGGCTGAGCCGGCCCCTGCAATGCCTCAGGAGGCGCTTGCTACCTGAGGACGCCTTCATGCAAAGCAAGCCCGCATGCCCCGTTTCACCACCACCCCACCAGGGAGGTAAGAGAACGGCAAAACGGACACAGTTCACCCAGAGGATTCCCTCGCTGTGGCAGACAGCTCTGTCTTTGGTTAAAGTGGAAGGGAAATCATGATGGAGTTGTCTACACCACATTCACCTTTGAGAAAAATGTAAAGTGCCCAGAGGCTGTGTGTTCTCCTAGCAGGTCAGAGCTGCTCTTGCAGCAGTGCAAGAGCCAGTCCATGCCAGCCTCAGCCATGGAGAGGGGAGTCCCAGGAGGGCAGGGCCAGCCCCAGAGTCCCACCCAGCATCTCACCTGTGGCCCCTTCTGAGCCAGCCAGGCCCCCACTGCCGGGCCACTGGCTGGCACTGAACCCCTCCCTTGCCAGGTCCATGAGGTCCTGCAGGGCCTGATGCTCCCTCTGGCTGGCCGAAGGTGACAGCTCCCTGGAGTCACAGCCTGCAGGCGGGGTGCTATGGAGAGCAGGTGACCTTCGCGTGCCCGGCTCTGACTGCTCAGGTGGCACCAGTGGCAGCACGGCTTCCTGCGTGAGGCCCTGAAAGAGGCCGGTAAGCAGAGTAACCATGTGGCCACTGTCACATGCACTGCAGAAGCCGTCACATGTGGTATGCGTGGATGAACTTAAAACTACAGAGCAGGACACTGGCTGTGGGGACAGAGGGTCCCCGGAGCTTCAGCCACAGCCCAAAGCAGCCCTGGGATGCTATTCTCTAGCCCTCATGTCAGCAGGTTCCTCCTCTTGTCATGGCCAAGGCCAGGCCTATGGCATCTGAATCTGCTCAAAGGCTTGTCAGAGGCCAGTGGGGTCCAGGCCTGCCACCCTCCTGAAGTCCTCTAAGTGGCCTCAGGCAGGTATGTACTGACTCCAGGGCCAGCTGTTGCAGGGCTGTCTGGAGTGTGTGTTTGGAATGCATATTCCCAGGCTCTGTCTCAGGCAGTCTGCCAGCCGCCCCAGGACTCTGCATTTTTAACAACTCCAGGAGCACGGTCCGTGGTGGAAACCAAGGGTCCTCCCTGATCCTACCAGCAGGGCCATGTAGTTGCTGCACAGAGAAGAGAGCTGCAGCCACTAAATGCCCCTCTGGCTCCCTCCCGCCTCTGCCTTTCTTTCCTGGACTTTCCATCACCTGGCTGTGGATCCCCAGTATAGCAGTTCTGGGACTGCTGGCCTCCCCCAAAAGCCTGTGGCATATGCCTGAGGAGAGGGGCTCACCTGGGCAGGCCGCTGGGGCACGATGGGAGGGACCAGGCTGGCTGTGTAGAAGGCCTCCACAGCCCAGGCCCCGGTCAGTGCGCTGCCCTCCCACAGAAAGCTCTGCTTGCCTTCAGGTGGAGGGAGACACCATCCTGCCTTTTCCCGCCATTTCTTTAAAATCCTGCTGGTGGGAAGTGGTGGCGTGCTGGACAATTCCACTTCCTCAGAGAGGAGTAAGTCCACACGGTCCTCTATCTGTCGGCCTGTGGTCTCGGAATCCTGGACTAACAACAGTGGAGGTGAACCTGGGGGTTTCTTCTTGCGACTCTTCTTCTCTAGAGAGAAACAAAAGTGACACCATCAACAGTGGAGTCAATCCACTCACCTGGGACCTGCTGGCGTTCTCTCCCAGGTGGGTGCTGGTGGGCTCTGTTCTTGGCCACACAAACCTGCTTCTGGTCTTATCCTCTCAGAAAAGGCACTTTCCAGCCTGAGAGCTGGCACAGCTGCACATGGCTCCATCTCTGACCGGGACAGAGCCATGGCCATCAGCAGGTCCTCAGATGGTGTCTCATCTATCTTCCGCCTCTTCCGTGGCTCCTTCTTGCTGATGGGTCCTCTCCGTTTCAGACCTCCACCATGATTGCTGAAGCTAGAAGACAGCCACAGAGAAAAGTTTTTGGGGCTAGAGGCATGTGCACCTCTGAGGCTGGTCACACTGGCCTGGCAAGGGCTGGGCTTGAGAGAAAAGGGATGGATGTGGATCCGCCAGGCAGATACATCCCCTGCTTCTACTGCCGCATGTGAGCTCAATCAATCCAGGCCAAAAGTTCAGCAGGGCCCAGGCACAGGAGAGCCTGGGTCTCTTCAGGTGCTGCTGCCCAGCGGGCTCATGGCAGATGTACAGAGCCATCTGCAGGACCTGCACATCCTCATGTAGCCCAGCCTGTCCAGTGGAGTCAACAGTGGATGGCTCTGAGCTGGCTCCCTGGATTCCCACCACCTTCACCCATCAGTACTTCCGATGCTCTTTACACAGTCCTGGCCACACCAGCAGAAAAGGATCCCTTCCTACAGGGGCTCCAGGGCAGTGCCTCTGCCCATGGCCAGAAGGAAGGGCTTCCCGGCTTAGGCTGCCAATGGTCGACATTATACCAGCCACCCCGGGACTCTGCGTTTTTAATAGGCAGCAGATTGTTTGGTTTGGAGGAAATGAGCAGAAGCATTTCCAGCTGGAGAGAACCTAGGCTGCCTCAAGCTGGGCAGGAAGGAGGAGGGCAGAGGCAACGTAGGAACATGGCACACTCCGAACCCACCTTCTCTGCACTGCAGTCATGCCTCTGGCTTTTGCAAAGGCTTATGCTCTCCACTGGGCCAGGGATGGCTCAAGTTCCCCTTCCAAGGAACCTAGATAAGCACAGCCTCCCAGAGGGAAAGGAGCTGCCTGGGCAGCTAGATCCCCCGCCTCTGTGAGGGGAACACAGACTCTGTCCCCCTCCTCACTCCCCAGCAGGCCAGGTTTGGGCGGGGGGGAGAATGCGAGGTGCTCTGGCCGGGGCGTGCGTTCTGATGACCATAGGCTTGGCATTTGGGGTTGGGGGTTTAAAGACCCCGTGAGGGCATCCACCTCCTGCAGGTTTCTACTCTAACGGCCTTCTACATGGACCCATATACATCTGGTTTCAGTACTTGGAGGTATTCTAAAAGCAGACATGGAGACATTATCTGAGGAGGTGGTTTTGGTGCAGTCCTGCCAAGAAAGAAATAATGGCTTAGATGATGTCTATTCTAAGGCCTCAAGGTATGCAACCCTGCCATGCTGGTGTGAAGGTACTAGATACAGATGAGCTCCCTGCCAAGAGAATCTCCCTCTGCCATCTGCCATCTCAGCCCTGGCCCAGCTCAGTGGCCCATGACCTGTGTGCAAAGCAGTGGGCGGGACAAACAGCCATCGCCTTTGGCCTTCTCTTTGCTCCTGACAGCTGTCCCAAACCTGGAGGAGTCAAAGGCCCAAGTTGCCTCTGTTCCTATGAACCTGGTGTCAGCTCTAGTGTCCTCAGTGGCAGGGCAGTATGGAGCAGGGCCAGCCCTCTAGCACCTGGGTGGCTGTGGTTTGCATGTTGAGGACTTGTTTCCTGGCTGTGAGCAGGGCCTCTCATTTTAACTTGTAAGCATTAATTCATGCAAGATTTTTTTAAAAAGGGTCCTATACTTCTGTTTCACCAACTTTGTTGTTGTTTTTGTTTGTTTATTAAGACAGGGTCTGGCTCTGTTGCCCAGGCTAGAGTCCAGTGGTGCAATCACAGCTCACTGCAACTTTGACCTCCCAGGCTCGAACGATCCTTCTGCCTCAGCCTCCCAAGTAGCTGGGACTACAGGTGAGCAGCACCACAACCAGCTAATTTTTTGATTTTTTTTTTGTAGTGATGGGTCTTGCTATGTTGCCCAGGCTGGTCTTGAACTCCTGGGCTCAAGTGATCCTTCTGCCCTGGGAAAGTATTCAGCTTACAGGCATAAGCTATCATGCATGGCCAATCACCAACTCTTTGAACTGTGCTGAATAATCTTACATTAACATTGTGCAAATTGGACTACACCGAGGTGGAAAGCGTGCAACAAGTATATAAACCATACACCAATGAAATGGATGCAGTAAAGTGACTACCAAATTCTTAGATGTCTTAGAGCAGCGGTCCCTAACCTTTTTGGTACCAGGAACTGATTTCATGGAAGACAGTTTTTCCATGGGACAGGAATGGGGGAAATGATTTCAGCATGAAAGTGTTCCGCCTTAGATCATCAGGCATTAGATTCTTAAAGGGAGAGCGCACCACTTATCTGACAGGAGGCGGAGCTCAGGCGGTAATGCTTGCCTGCTCACTGCTCACTTCCTGCTGTGTGGCCAGGTTCCCACAGGCCACAGACCAGTACTGACCCGGGGGGTAGGGGTCCCTGCACTAGAGGGTAACTACTGCAGGATCATGGGATTGGAAACTCAGGAAGGACCTTGAGTGAAATGGTGCAGTGATCATTTCTGCACACACCTAAATGGGCGAGTCCAGAGCCTTCCAGAACGCAGACTGTCCCCTCCTCAACCCCTTCTAGACTGTGCCAGATTTCCACCATAAGTGTTTCATTTGTAGAATCAGAGGGCTCAATTTTCCTCCAACACCATAAAAAGCTTTTTATTTTTTTCCTTTAGACAGGGTCTCACTCTGTCACCCAAGCTGGATTGCAGTGGCACAATCTTGGCTCACTGCAACCTCCACCTTCCAGGTTCACGTGATTCTCCTGCCTCAGCCTCCCAAGTAGCAGGGACTGCAGGCATGTGCCAGCACACCCAGCTAATTTTTGTATTTTTAGTAAAGACGGGGTTTCACTATGTTGGCCAGACTGGTGTCAAACTCCTGACCTCAGGTGATCCGCCTACCTCGGCCTCCCAAAGTGCTGGGATTACAGGCATGAGCCACTGTGCCCGACCCACAAAAAGCTTTTTTAAATAGAAAAAGCTCTGAGTGCACGCAGCATTACTTGGCTTGGTTTTCTTCCTTTTGTCAACTCACCTGGACACCGATGGGCTGCCGCTCCCCTCAGGCTGTGCTGTCTGCAGCCGCACAGCCTGCAGCAGGAGCTGGGGGCCCACCTCCATCTTCACGGCACACTGCTTCAAGTGACTGGTTCTGCTCTTTAAGGTGAGAAACTGTTTCCCACAAATTGGGCACTCAGGGATCTGAGGCGCAGAAGGTCTTAGTGCCTTTTCATCTTCATCCAAGCACCTGAAGGAAGACAGTATATACAGAAAAACTACCCTTCCCGGGAATGTGGATTGGAGCAAATGTGGGTCCAGGCTGACATGGACATGCTGTGGTCAAAGCAAATTCCCCAAAGCCAGTCCTCTCCACACTGCCTGACTGTCTCCCGGCAGTCAGCCCCGAGACACTACATTTAGGTATCTATTAACAAAGCTGGCCAAAGAAAGCAAGGAAAGATGAAATGCAGTTACGCAATGACTTAGAAATTCCACTCCTAAGTATAGACCCCAAATAACCGAAAACAGGTACTCAAATACATGAAACCCATGTTCACAGCAGCTCTAGTCACAATACCCAAAAGGTAGAAACGATCCAAACGTCCAGCAATGAATGAAAGAATAAACCACAGTCTTATTCCTCATCTAAGATTGGGAAGGAAACACAGTCTTATCCATACAATGAGATACCATTCAGCCATGACAAGGAATGAAGCCTGATCCATGCTATAACATGGATGAACCTCAGAAACAACATATGCAGTCAAAGAAGGCAGACACAAAAGGACAATTGTGTGATTTCAGAATCAGCAAATCCATCGAGATGGAAAGTTGATCAGTGGTTGTCAAGGGAGGGAGGGGCAGTAGGGAGTGGCTCCTAATGGGTGTGGAGATTCTTTTGGGAGCGATGAAAATAATCCAGAAGTGATTGTGGTATGCAACTATGTTGCACAACTGTGTGAATATCCCCAAAGCCACTGATTTGTTCAGTTTAAATGGGTAAACTATATGCTTTGTGAATTATATCTCAATAAAGTTGATTTTTAAAAGGGGATAGGTTGACAACACAGCTGAGGTGCTATCGTCATGGTAAGGTGTGGAGATCCCCACCCCAGCCCTGGGGCACCCAAGGATTCTGGTCACATACACAGGAGTGGTGACGGCCTGAGCTGCCCCCACCTGTTCACATGTTGCTCCCTTCGTGTCACATTCATGGCTGAGAGGTTCTTTTGACAGATCTGGCAGAAGAACAATCCCTTTTCCTCCAGGCTGTCATCATGTGCCGATGCTCTGACCCGTGCAAACTCCTGCTGCAGGGCCAAGGCCACCACAGCGTCGCTCCCTGGGGCAGGGAGCCCAGGCCCATCCCCTGCGGAGAAGCACCAAAGATCTGTGAGGACAAAGTCCAAAAACAAGCTCACCCTCAGACCTCTGCTCTGTCGGCTCTTGCAGACCATGGGGAGCAGATGAAGCACAAATAAACCAGAACGCAGCTCCACACTGCAGGCCAGGTGAGTTGGGCACTGTCCAGTGAGACTGTACACTAATCAACGCTCCTGGAACAGCTGTCTCCAACTTAAATATGCATATGCATTGCCTGGGAAGCCTGTCGACACTCAGGTTCAAATTCAGGGGGTCCAGGTACAGCCTGAGACTCTCTGCATTCCTAGCAGCCCCTAGGCTTGGCGATGCCGGCAAAGCAGGACCACTCTTTGAGTAGCAAGGACCTAAACTTCCCCACTTCTGCAGAAGTTGGCTACCTCAAGCTTTGAAGGTCCACAAGGCTTATACTCCATCAAAGCTAGATGTTCTTTGCGAAGCTCAACCTTTCCTGCTGACCTTTCACTGCCCATGAAAAAACCAGGGCAGGGTGAAATGCCTTAGGTGGTTAAAAGACAGCAGCATCTCTTACTTAGCATCTGACCAAAGAGTGGACTGATTCTGGTCGTGAGATGGCTCCCAAGGTGGCCCATCAGATATTGCTGGAGCAGACCCCTGTCACTCACAAGGGATATGCCCTGAATACCTAATAAATCCCCAAGTTCTTGATGGCTGTGGCCTACCAATGCCCGCCAGTGAAGCCAGCAAAATAGCACACCTTCATTTCGGTGTCCTGTTTTGTTTGGTTTTCTTTTCTTTTCTTTCTTTTTTGATATGGAATCTCACTCTAATGTCCAGGCTGGAGTGCACTGATGTGATCTCAGCTCACTACAACCTCCGCCTCCCGGGTCCAAGTGATTCTCCTGCCTCGGCCTCCCAAGTAGCTGGGATTACAGGTACCTGTCACCACACCTGGCTAATTTTTTTTTTCTTTTGGTGTTACTGTTTTGAGATGGAGTCTCACTCTGTCACCTAGGCTGGAATACAGTGGCGTGATCTCGGCTCACTGGAACCTCCACCTCCTGGGTTTAAGAGATTCTCCTGCCTCAGACTACCGAGTACCTGGGATTAGAGGTATGTGCCACCACACCCAGCTAATTCTTGTATTTTAGTAGAGAAGGGGTTTTGCCGTTTTGGCTAGGTTGGTCTCAAACTCCTGACCTCAGGTGATCTACCCACCTTGGCCTCCCAAAGTGCTGGGATTACAGGGGATTACAGGCGTGAGCCAGTGCATCTACCCTGGTTTGGTTTCTTAACGAAGAATGGTTTATCTCTTTCTGGGCACTTGCTGGGTGTGCTGTGAAGATATAGGGAGAACTGAGTCAAATGCTGGGCAGGGGCAGAGCTTACACACCAGCTGGGTGCCTCCTCTGCACTTCATATGTGCATCCAGGACCAGTGCCTCGGCAGGATATCACATCACTGCCTGCTGTGGCACCTGGGGCAGCCTGAGACTCCTCGGTGCTACTGTAGTGAAATCTGCAATGCAGTGCCAAGAGCCTGCATATTTATTAGCTCTAGGTCCACCAATAATGGTTTCTTCTTACTTCTTTTCCTTTTGTATATTTTCATCAAAGTTGATAATTCATATTGTTTCGGGGATGAAGAATGGGACCACCTGGCATTATTATGCTTCTGTGGCCACAGCAAGCACACAGCAGCTATGGGGCACTGTCATCGTACTGTCTTACCTAGAGCCAATGAGCCTCTAGACCACTCAGAGAGTAGGGCAACCCAACAGTTAGAGGAAGGGGTGAAATGATCCATAAAGAAAGAAATTCAAAGGAGGCTGAGGCAGGAGAATTGCCTGAACCCAGGAAGCGGAGGTTGCGATGAGCTGAGATCGCGCCATTGCACTCCAGCCTAGGTAACAAGAGTGAAACTCCGTCTCAGAAAAAAACAAACAAAAAAAAACAAACAAAAAAGAAATTCAGCAAGTGGGAAATTGTGTAATACAATTAGCCTACCCCCTTCTTTTTTTTTTTGAGACAGAGTCTTGTTTTGTCACCAGGCACCAGGCTGGAGTGCAGTGGCGCGATCTCTGGTCACTGCAACCTCTGCCTCCCGGGTTCAGGCAACGCTTTTGCCTCAGCCTCCCAAGTAGCTGAGACTACAGGCACATTCCACCACGCCCAGCTAAATTTTGTATTTTTTAGTAGAGACGGGGGTTCACCATGTTGCCCAGGATGGTCTCGATCTCTTGACCTCATGATCCGCCCACCTTGGCCTCCCAAAGTGCTGGCATTACAGGTGTGAGCCACCGTGCCCGGCTGCCTACCCTCTTCAAAAAGTCAATGTCATGGTCCCGGGCGTGGTGGCTCACACCTGTAATCTCAGCACTTTGGGAGGCTGAGGCAGGCAGATTGCCTGAGTTCAGTTGTACAAGACCAGCCTGGGCAACATGGCGAAACCCCATCTCTACTAACAATAAAAAAAAAATTAGCCAGGTGTGGTGGTGGGTGCCTGTAATCTCAGCTGCTCAGGAAGCCGACTGACGAGAATTGTTTGAACCTGGGAGGCAGAGGTTGCAGTGAACCGAGATCATGCCACATGCCACTGCACTCCAGCCTGGGGGACACAGCAAGCCTCCCTCCAAAAAAAAAAAAAAAAAAAATGTTGCTGGGAGTGGTGGCTCACACCTGTAATCCTAGCACTTTGGGAGGCTGAGGTGGGTGGATCACCTGAGGTCAGGAGTTCAAGACCAGCCTGGCCATCATGGTGAAACCCCACCTTTAAAAAAAAAAAAAAAAGAATAAAAATAAATAAATAATAAAGTCAGTGTCATGAAAAACAAAAGAAAACAGGGGGACTGTTTGAGAATCCAGACCTTAGGAGACTGCTGAGCTGCAGCAATATGTAGTATGTGAACTTACTGAATACATGTTCAGAAAAAAAAGAAAGCTGCTACAAAAAGTAATCTTTAGAGACAACTTGGGACATTTGAATTTGAACTGGATGCCAGGCACTATTATGGAATTAAGCGTGGTAATGCTATTGTGTGGTTACGCAGCAGATTCTAGGGGTGAAGGATCCCATTGTCTGTAACTTACCTTCAGATAATATGGAAGAAAAATATGCACATTTATAAAGACACTTAAAATAGCCAAATGTTAACAATTGTTAAATCTAGATTGACATATAGGGGATTAGGGGATTCACTGTAATTGTTTTTTTTTTTGAAACAGGGTTTCACTCTGTTGCCCAGGCTGAAGTCAAATGGTGCAATCACAGTTCACTGCAGCCTCAACTTCCTGGGCTCAGGCAATTCTCCCACCTCAGCTTCCCAAGTAGCTGGGACTACAACCATATACCATGATGCCCAGCTAATTAAAAAAATTTTTTTTGTAGAGATGCAGTCTCACTATGTTGTCCAGATTGGTTTTGAACTTGTGACCTCAAGCAATCCTGCTTTGGCCTCCCAAAGTGCTGGGATTACAGGCATGAGTCATCATGCCTGGCTTCATTGTAATTAAAAACAAAACAAAACAAACAAACAAACAAAAAAACCTTGGCTGGGCACAGTGGCTCATGCCTCTAATCTCAGCACTCTGGGAGGTTGAGGCAGGTGGATCACAAGGTCAAAAGACTAAGACCACCCTGGCCAACATGGTGAAACCCCAGTTCTACTAAAAATACAAAAATTAGCTGGGCATGGTGGCACACCTGTATTCCCAGTTACTCGGGAGGCTGAGGCGGGAGAATCACTTGAATCTGGGAGGTGGAGGTTGCAGTGAGCCA